ATATATAAGGGTATAAAAATTGATATCATTTCCACTTGAGATAAAAATGAGTTTTTATTTTTATTTCTTACTATCTCACATAGATTCCTACTTCAGTTGTCTCTGTCAAACCAAACATTACCATAATAAACGTATTAATGGATGGAGCAAACGCTCCTTGGCTTGGTGGTTTGGTTTGGTACTCTAGCTGCAATTGGTGATTAGAGGTACTCTAGCTGCAATTGGTGGTTTGGTGTGGTACTCTAGCTGCAAATGGTACCAACAACAGCAGCTCAAAATAATGAATGGGACCATATTAGCGATGAAACGTCAGCAATAATAATTATAATAATAATAATAATAATAAAAGAAAAAACCCTCAAAGTATAGTTTTAGTTAAGAGAAAGCCATTTTAGCAATTTAATCTTAAGTAAATGGTTTTAAACAGGAAGCAATTAATGTATTTAATCTTTAAATTCATTCAAAGATTAAATTTAATGGACCCATTTATAAATAATATGTGTACAATTTATGTGTAAACTCAAACGGTGCCTAACAATTTAAAAGAAGATATACATATGTTTTTCTTTTACAAGCCCTCCTGAATTTTCTTTTTAGTAGCTATTAGCCCTGCAAAAACAAAAACAAAATGAAGGAAGTTCGGAAACAAAAACAAATAAAAGGGCAGGGAAGCAACAAACCTTACAAGATAATCTAGTGATATCTTTTGGTCATTTTATTGACCTTATATTTAATTGAATATGAAGTTGAGGTTAGTATATCATAGTTTTTCTTCTCTTTTAAGCTCAAATAAGGCTTGTTGTTTACTAGAGACTCCCGATAATAAAAATAGTCCTAGATTGGCTACAATCCTTTTTCAGGATTGACTGACTTATTGAATCTTATTATCAACCATCTCCCCTTCTACTTATTGACAAGCATTGGCTTCCTAAACAATGTGTTTTTAATGGCATCGTTGTTTTGGTTGGTGAATATAAAAAATCAATATATGTTATTATCACTATCAGTGTCAACAATCAATTGGTAACAATTTTTGAAGATATTAACTATAGCTCTGAGCTTGATGATCTTATAAAACTTTTCAAATAAGGATAAAATTATTAATTTGTTAAGATTCAGTTAGCCTAAACTCAGTTGGTAGTAACTAAATACCTCTTTCATGAATCTTTGAAAAGAGAATGAATACTCCATTGTACACATATAGATCGAGGCTGTAATTTCAAGCTAACCCTAAATGAAGCTCGGGATCTAATTGCTATTACGCTTAATATGGTCGAGCATCTAAGCCATATGCTCTCATAATTAGTGGCAAGCAACATATTTTACATCCTCAGCACTTACGTTGCTAGGGAAATTACCCTTAAGGGTTTAAAGCAACATCCTTCTTTCCTAAATATCTCCAACAAGAGCAAGAGAAGGATTCTTATGAGACCCTCTTTTTTATGTATCTCTATCAAAGGCTGGAGAAGGACAGCTCATATGAGAAGATTTTATCACCTCCCTACTAGAGGAGGATGCCAATGTAGCATCTCTTATTGTTTTACGATCTAGTCTAATAGACTCTTATCCCTTACTATTTATTTTAAGTTATGGTTGAAATATAAACTCTTTATTGGTGATATAAGCAACTCTTTTTTGAGAAATAGATCTGATACTTTTGGATCCATTTGTTATTTTCAAAAGAAAGATAGGGAGAAAGGTTTTGATAAAGGAGATATTTGAAGTGGATATTCTCCTTTTGGATTAGATTAGAGATGTTTTGGAGTCTTATTGCATAAACAAATTTTCAAAGCTCTTAGAAAGTGAAATAAAAAAAAAGTCACAAGCAAAAACAACTAAAATTATAAAAAAAGAATTGTTTTGTTCCCACCATCAAATAAAAAAGCCTTTCGTATCATCACAAATCTAAAAAATTCACTTATTTAATGCATTAAAAGCCAACCGCCATTTTGTTTCCCAATCTTTTCCTTAAAGTAAAGGCAAGCCACCTAAATTTGAAGATCTCGACAGTTCTACATGGAACACGCAAAATTGTATGAAAAAGATAAAAAGTGTTTCATCTGTTGGTGACTAAGACTTTCAAAATATTTGCTTATACCACACAAAGATTTGAGAAGCTATTGATGGATCAATATTGTTTTTGCTTTTAACTAGATTTTATTTCCTAAGTAACCAAAAATAAGGTAATAACTCGACGCCTTTAGGCTCAACCATATATTGAGACTAGGTATATATGGGTTTGGAAAGCTGTCAGCCTTATCATCTCTTCAAGATTTTCAATTATTTTAATTTCAAAGAATCTTAGGTTTCGTGTTTTATTTTGATAAGTTAGAAATACTTTATTCTGATAAGTTAGAGATATTTATATTTTAGTCATTTTTTTTAATAAAAAGACTCATTAGTTATAAATACACTAGTAATCTTTAAAAGGAGGGGGGAGATCTCGATTCTCAATTGCATATTTATAATCAAAATCTCTTTCTAAAAAATCATTGCTTTTTTTCTAAATAAAATAGTTATTTAAATACTAGAAAATCTCCAAATTCATTAAAGTAATTAAAGATATCAGGCACCAACCATTAGCTTTATTAACTATAGAAAATGCTAAGGTGTTAGAACAAAAGAAATTAACCAGTTATTCAAAACATAAGCTTTGCCCACATATCTAATTTTTTTTAGCACTGCTGAAATTTTTCTGTGTTAAAACACTGCCGCTCGATTAAATTGGGCTAAAGATTGAGCTGCTTACCAATTCTACTGCTGCTGGGAGGACTTCGTCTTCCAATCTTTTACCAAAGAATTTCAAAGAACAAAGCTGCTAGAAATTTTCTACTGGGAAAATATACTACTGTGAATAAAGAAAGCTGCTTGAACTGAGTTGCTGCTGGGAGGACGCACGTTCTGCTGCTCCTGCTCGGGGCTACTGCTGCTGCAAGGGAATGTTACTGCTGAATTGGACAGGTACCGCTGGAAGGAGCTGCTGGGGCGCTACTGCTGTTTTGAGCTGCTGCTGCTGGAGGAGATCCTGCAACTGCCACGCGTCTGTATGTTTGCTGCTGCTGCGCTGCTACTGTAAGGAGAAGGCTGCTGCCTGCTGCTACTGTCTATGCCTTCTTTTCACGTTAACTTTGGGGCTGCTAGTAACTGCTGTTACTTATGGAAGCTACTGAATTGTTTTGAAGCTGCTTGCTGCGAGAACGTTCTTGTTAAGGGTGTCTTGGATATTGTGGTAGTTACTGTGGTTATGATTTGAAAAAAATATTATTTTATAAAAAGTATTTTTAATTGAGGTTGGGTTGAAAAAAGATATGTTTAGTTAAAATTATAATTGTAATTGAAGTTGAACAAAAAATATTTTAATGTGTTTGGTTAAAAATGCTTTTGAAATTGAGATTATAAAATAATTTTTAAAAAATATATATTAATATTTATGGTTCTTAATTTAAATATTGTAGATTTAACTATTGATATTATATCATGAAATAAATTATATTTTATATAAAATATTTTTTATTGTTCCATTAAACTATTTACAATTTCATTATATATAAAATTCATCCGACAATAACTATAGTTTCTATAATTTTTTAAGTATACAATAAAATTAGATAAAGTATTATCAGGAATAAAATTAAGATTATAGTACGAGTAAATTTAATTAATCTTAAACTATTTTTTAAAAAAATTATTATTTACATTTACGTAACATGAACACTTAAGTAAAATCAATTTACTGCACTAATTATTCACATAAACAGAACAATAACCCATGAATTAATTCACCTGGCACTGTTCACATGAACAGTGCTAGGTGAATCAACTTGACAGTATGTAGATAATAATAATTGCTAACAAAATACTCCTACTTAAGCTAAGAATGAAGAAAGTAAACACATCAAATTGGGTGGATCCTTGAGTT